CATAAGAAACGCCGAAATATGTTCATGAGGATTCTCTGTTGCTTTTCCAAAGAACTTGATGTCTTGGTGATTTTGGAACAAATTGATGACATTTGGTCTAAGGTGGAAATTAGGTTGTTCAAAGAGAGGATACACTACAACTGGTTGCACTGGTGCTGGAATTGGATTAACATAATCTCCAACTAAGATAGGGGCTTCGTTCTGGATAGCTCTCGATTGATTTAGCTGCGATATTTGCTCGTGAAGTTGAACCTGATTCTGTGGTTGATTTTGGTTATCGGCCATTCTTCTTGTTTGACGTTGAACTCTTCTACGATTTCTAAATGTTCTTTCTATTTCGTGGTCAATTGGAAAGAGATCTGGCTCGTCGGGATTTTGCATAAACTAAAGTTGCCTAAAAAGTGTAATAGTAGCCTAAAAACAACAACTAAAAATAAAATAAAAATACAAACAATAAAAAAATAATAAAAATAAAAACGAATCTAAAATATGTAATAACTAAAATTATCATCGTTATTTCCCGACAAAGGCGCCAAAAACTTGTTTGTCAAAATTCTGCAAGTGTACGGGTTCGTTGTATAAGTAATAATTGTAATGAAAGAATTATCATCCCACGGGAAATAAGATCTAATTCTAGTCTATTCTATATAATTAAATTCGTATGAGTAACTAAAAGTTGATTTTTGTTTGAATATCTAATTAAATTCTACGACTAAAAATTGCAAAATTAATGAGAATTTGTTTTAGAATTCAGATGAGTGAATGTATTGGATTTTCGACGCCAATGATCAACTCTTAGTTCTAATTATCAACCTATGACAATTATCTCAACTCATGCAATTGTGACGATCGATAATTCCACTTTTATTTATTATTCTTTCCCAAGATATAATAAACCTTTGATTACCACGAGACGGTCATATTTCTAATCCAAATTAATATGGCAAACACGCATTGATGTATAGGATTATCACACATGATCGTACACGTCACAAATATTATTCCTAATATTCATTGTCCATGTATTCCAATAATAGTGTTATACGTACCGTGAGTTTTCCAACACTACGAATAAGCAATTCATTGTCCTAATAGTGCTCATACATTAAAACAATATGGTTATGCATATTAAAGGAATCACAACACAGGAATTTAGATAAAAACATAAGGTCTTGAATTAAAAACTAAGAATCAACCAGTTTTGTCATCCATCCAATACAAAGATATTTAGCCTAGCATATTAATGTAGGAAATGCATGAAAAATATAAGAACGACATCACCCGAATCATTAAAGTATGAAAAGAATCTGAAATCCTTCAATTGATGCCTTCAATTTCGAATCCAAGTGATGAAGTCTTGTTCTTCAATGTATATCTATCTCTTTCCCCTCTTTGTCGGCTTGCAAGATGTCAGAAAATTAGGTTCCACTGTGTTTTAGCCGACTCCTAGTATAAATATGATGCCACCAAGACTTTTCAAAATAAAATAAGGAAACAAAATTTTTTTTGTCGAAGTTGAACCATGCGTATGCATAGTAGCCTCAATTGAGCTGGGAAGTTCAATTTTCCAACTGTACATACGCAAAGCCTGCAGGCCCATGCGTACGCATAGTTCAATTATTTTAGGGGCCACTTTGCAATTTGGTCCCTGAACTTTCTGAAGTGTGTGTTTTGGTCCTTTTCCACAATTTCTTGTCCCATTAACTTCTCTTCAATTCCAGTTGACTCTTGGTGTTCTTAACTCATTGTTCTTCAGTCCAATTAAACTTTTGGATTATTGCATTATAGTCCCCAAATTTTGCCATTGATGTAATTGAGTCATTTTTCTCGCTTATTTTCTTTATTTTCGTATCTTCCATCGATTGTAACCTATACACAATATATACATAGGATTAAGTCATATTTCATCCAATTCATCAACAATTAATCAATTTTAACGGCCTAAATAAATGTATAAAATACACTTATCAGCCTTGGCCCAACTTCACTTATAGGAGGGCTTCCTTATGACTTGACCCATTATTTTGTGTCTTGGCCCGATCTTTTGCACCTTAGCCCAATTGATAATATAACCTAAAGCTATATATATTAACCCTCTTGTATAGAAGCCATGTGTTTTTGCCTTTGTTTGAGAAGGGAGAAACCGGCTTCCTCCTTTGTGATCTTATTCAAGTTCTTGCCTTGTCTCGTTTTCTTTATGCCTTTGTAGCTTGTAAAACACCACCATATTGTTGTCCCTTTGTGGGTGAGAATGGAGGAATGTAACCATAAGTGATTGAATTGTGGGTTAAAGTTTGATTGGTTGGTTGATATATTGATTGGTAAGTTTAATGTGAGCTTGGATTCCACAAATTAAAGATCTATTCCGCTACAGAGAGAAACAGAATCACTTCCTTTTCGAGCAAAGCTATGGGCCCCAAAATAGAATTGGCTTGCCCTAGCTGAAATTTGTAGTTTAGAACGAAAGTCGAGACCAGGTAGTTGTTAGGACTTTTGGTTTCATCTTAAAAAGTCAACCTTGTTAAAAAGAGTAGCGCGATTCTTTATAAATTGGTTCATGTTTTCATTTTTATTTGATATGAGATTTCATCCATTAACATGTCCTCGTAAGATGGTGACTCATTTGAGCAAACCAAGATGGTAGCTTTGATATCATGTTAAAACTTAAGGTTTCATCTTAAAATGTCAATCTTAAAGGTCAACCTTACTAAGAAGAGTAGCCCAAAACCTCATATGTTGGTATATATTTTCATCTTTAATCGATGTGAAATTTTATTCCTTAATATGTCCCCACAAGATGTTGGTTCGTTTGAGCAGACTAATCTTGAAATATGTATGCTCATTGTTGAGTTTTAATTGGATCGAATCACTCGTTGAAGCTTGATGGGCTCTAATATCATGTTGAAATTTGATATTCCATTTTAGAAGGTCAATCTTATTAAAACGAGTAGTACAATTTTTTATAAATTAATCTATGTTTTCATTTTTATTCGATGTAGGATTTCATCCCTTAACAATAGTGATCAGCAAAGTTGAAGCCAATGAAGGCCTAGCTCAAGTCGCCTCAAAATAGTCGATTGCTGATCTCGTATAACTGTCTGTCGCCATATTTACTACCTCTTGAACTGGTTTTACAGTTGACGAAAGGGGATTTTCAACCAAATCACCTGCACTGCAGATTGAATTTGTCAACACGATGGCATTCCCAAAGTATCCTTTTGGAACCGGTGGATTGAATCTGGACCTTCCATTAACTGCAAAAAGAAGCTACGTTTGTCGATCAGGCTTCAGGTCTAACGCCTTGCTCCGCGCTTTCCATACGAACGCTGAAATGGCTTCAAACGTAGTGCACATTTCGAGACTTCCATCTTCGAGGGCTTTTTTATGAGATTTTCAAGCTTCTTCGGGTCGAAAAAGAAGGATCTGTAAAGCATTTTTTCCTTCGTAAAGTTCACCAGCATTTGAGATGTCTTCCATTTCTGCAAATTCGCTCCATAAATGGAGGAATTTTAAGAGGAAGGCCTCGAGCAGGCTGCAGTTTCATCCCAAGAGTTCACAAATTCCATTGCTTCAAATCCATCGAACATATAAAGGTTCATGCACAGTCACAGAGCAAAACCTCGAAATTTGAACTTTGTAACCTGAAAATGATAAATTTTTCCACTAATTTCCTCTAGAAATCTTTGTTAGGGACCCTAATCCTTATTCCGAGATCAATGGTGAATGAAATGTAAACTGTAAACACACAGATTTTTCATAGTTCGCCCTTTTTGTGAGAGCATATCTTTCACTATAATGAAGTAGGAAAACGAGTTTCCTCGCATGTCTATGTCTTATCACAATAAACGGCTCCCTCAGATTTCTTTATATTTCTTGTGTTCTTGAGTTCGATTTTTGTCCGACCCAAAGGTTTTATGTGCTTTTCAAAACTTAAGGATCGGGCTACATGTATATGGTAACAAGAAAACAGCATTTTGAGCATGATCTTGTCAAAGTATGATACGTTGGTTTTTCACGTAGGAAATTTGGACAGGGATAAGTGAACAATATAATTATTCTCCACACAGTCCAAGAGTCTTGACCTCAGATGATATGCAAAGACGATAATGTGCAATAAAACAGATTTATCAAACAAAAAATCAGCTAGTGTAAATTTGCTTACTTTAGCTGTAACAGGAGGAATTTCCGGTCCATTTTTCGCCCTAGGAATATCGTAATTCGTAAACCAGCTTTCCAAGTGTGATAGGATCTGGCTTCGTAATATCATCTAATTCTTTAAGTACGCCTTCCCCTGTGCAATCCACTATAAGCTTCATATCGGGGCTAATGGTCAAGCGCCCAGCAAGCTGATAACAATACACGAGAACTTTTTATAAGGCGTCCTTAATCAGTTCTGCTGCATTTTCACTCCCTTTCTCTTCTGATTTAAAACATTAAATTGTTCGATCAATAACCGCAATATTCTGATCAAGATTGGATAAAATGTATGACCCCTTCATAGTCTCATGATCTGGAGGAACCAGAGTTGTTTCTCCTTGTTTGACATTTGAGTTCAAACAAATTGCTATTTCCATTGTCCATTTCTTGAATTTCACAGTTTTAAACCCTGAATAAAACTAGAAATGCTAATAAAGATTAACATATACTTCGGGTCAGGATTATGAGATATATGGAGAGAACATGGTGTAGAAATTTTGGTAATTTGTTAAGTTTGGGTAAACAAAGATGTACCATTGAAAGGGACTGTTGATTTATGCAGTTTCAAAGCTTTCTTCATTCACAAAAGCAATCTCTAAGGAACAAAATCAGAGATATAAGTTTATTTGAACTTGTTAATGAAAGACTGCCAATGTCATATAGTTGCTGCAGGCTACTTGCCATGGTACCAATGAATAACCAATATGAAAACATGGGATCGGGTTGTGGGGGTTATTTGGTACAAATAATATTTAATGTACGTAAGTAACCAAACCAAGAACATACGAAATTTACAAAGTACATAAGGTGATGAAAATATATATATCTGCAAATTCTCAAACGAGTTTTTTACAAAAACGGCTGTAATAAAACATCGACTAAATTCAACTACAGGGGTTCAGAGCAAAAACCAGAAACTCAGTTGTAGCAACTATAAGTAAACTCATATCATACAGATAAATTCCTTTCTATCAGTCTATCAGCAAAAGGCCAAAGAAATATTAAATGTGTTCCTTTTGTTCACATAAACACAGCTGATCAAACCCCTTTACATTTCAGAAGAAGTGATGCTGACATGTTCTCGCCTGGGTAAATCTAAGACTAATCATTATTTTCATCTTTCTCCGAATTGTCACCAGACTCATCCGCTGCCTCCTCATCTTCATCGTCAGTCATGTTATTTATTACTTCAGTGATTATAGCCTTCACGTCTGCTTTTCTATGCATCAGATCCATACCAAAGTGGTCACCTGACATGAACTTGAAAGGATTAGCAAATCAAAACCAAAGTGTAAGTGTATGTTTGGCAAAGCTTATAATTGCTTAAAAATTGATCAAACTCTATTTTACCCACACATTACTTGGAACCCAAACCTTTTACCTACTTCTCAACCTCACATTCTTACAGATCCACTGCTCATAAGCACTTATAAGCTTAGCCAAGCAAGGACTCAGAAAATTCTAATGTAGTAACGTGTACTCTTGTAGGAAAAGTCTTACCAAGCAGTCTGAGAATATCGGATAATGTTGCCTGCATTTTTAAAGTTTGAAGGTTGTCAATTGCAAATCCATAATTGAACATCAGTACAATATTCAATAGAATACAGCAGTCCAACTTACAGTGTTAAAATCTACTTCCTTCAGTATTTTTACTACCACTGCATGCATTTCTTCGTTACTGGGTTCGGTCTTGGCTTTCTTGCTGCTTTTCCCTTTGCCTATGGCAAATCAAGAAACATGAGCAAGCACGACAAATATAGAAAGACAATTCCTGAAAAGATTGCATGAAGATGAACATAATTCCATAATCATGTGATTTCCTTTTCAATGGACATTACTACACCTTTCAAGGTCAAATTCAGGTGTGGGAGTGGGATGGGGCTTCACCAAATTATTGTGCATTGTGATAGTAGACTGAGCATCAAAATATAAAAGAAAAAACCATAAACTGGGGGGATCCTTACTAGGTTTTCAAGCATCCCTATCAGATTAAGAGTGCAATAAATGAATATCAAGGGGTAATACCTTGATCTGTTGAAGACTTGCTTGACTGTTTCTTGCTAGAAGCCTTTCCCTTTGCGGGTGCACTTGTATCTTCTTCAATTTCCTTATTAGCCTTCCGCTTTTTCATCAAGGATGCCTTAATTTCATTCTTCGATTTAGCTTCAGCAGCAACTTTCTTAGATGCTGAACTGGAAGATTTTTTAGTAGATTCACCAGAGCTTTTGGAAGATTTTGAAGAGCTGCCTTTAGTAACAGGCTTAGACTTCTCACTCATCTTGCCACCACTATCTTTTCTAGCACTTTTCTTTGAAGAAGATTTATCGACAGACTTCTGCTTTTTGGGTTCATCTTCCTCTGCCCCTTCCTCTTCGTCTTCCTCCATGTCTTCCTGAGACTTATTCTCTTCCTGCTCAGTTTCTGCTTTTGCAGCTATGTCATTGTCATCTTCATCATCTTCGCTCTCTGAAGCTTCGCTTTTATCATTATCTTCTTCCTCAGTTTTGGATAACTCCTTGGGCTTCTTTCCTGATGTGGAGCTTGGCTTATTTTTCTACATGCAATAAGAATAAGTAAACAAAGAATCCTAAGTGCATTAAGAACTTTCTGTTGAACAGACAAAAAGTAAAGACCATACAAAAAGAAACATGGTTGCACAAAAAAATGTTTCGCTGAACAAGGCAACACGAAAAGTTAACAAATGAAGTAAAACTAAGCACCATCGAAAATCCTGGATCACACAAGGAATGAGCCGTTATTAGACTCAGAACATGGTAAGATCAAAATGAGTTTTCATTACAGGTATGAGATATAGGAAAATAATCCACCAAGCATAAAGAGGATACCTCTCATTCTTATTCCTTTTTCAACAAGAAAAATCAAAAATCCAAAGATCATCTTATTCAAAACCCCAATTATGACTGTCCTACAAAAGTGATTTGCGAGATCATGCAACTCTCTTTCCTAGTTATAAAGGAAAAGGTCCAGCTGGTTGGATCCAACCTATTCTTGAAATGAAGAGCAAAATGCAACAAAAGAAAAGGAAGAAAAATCCACGGACCGACCCCATCATCTCCACCCCGTAGGAACTAAGTTCATAGAATTAGAGGAAATCCTCTTCTTGGACGAAATGATCAATAAAGAATGAAGTTAAACTTCCAGTATTAAATAAATGGCTGAAACTGGTAAATATGGCCTCAAAAGCAGAACTTTCCTTGCGCATTAGAAAGATGAGACAAGCCCATTACCCTGGGCCTTTGGAAAGGAAACTGACACGCATTAACAAGGAATTAAAACGGACAATTAGAGGTTGTTCTCTTCGTGTTTTAGTTTTTAATTTGTGTTTTGAGTGTCCATTTTGAGATTGCAAAAAATGAGTTGTTTTTGTCATTTTGAAAAATTATTTTTAAAAATAAAAAAATGAAAAACCCTTTTACTTTCTTTGTAATTTTGAAAAACTAAAAAACTTATTATCCAATATATATATAGTTCTTTTACTTGTAAGAAAAAGAAAAACAACTGCCATTGTGGTTAAGGCATTGAATTCCATGCTGGTCACCCGGGTTCGAATCTCAGCCACCCACCAATTTATTTGAAAATTTTTGTACTGTGCATATAAAAAGAAAATTCCTTTTTGTTGAGTTACGGTGAAACAGAATCAAACTCGTGACCTTCAAAAAATTCATGACTCAACCAACTAAGCTATAACGCTATTGGCAAAACTAGCCGTGTACCGCATTTTTGAAGTTTTGGCTTGGTTTAAATGAAAACTGCCAAAAGACTTTTTTGGCGTTTTCCGTTTTCTTCGTAAATTTTAAACTCGTTTTTGAAAATTCATTTCCAAAAATAGGTAAATAAACGTGCTTTCAGTGTTTCCGAAAAATTAAAAACTGAAAATGGCCTAAAAATAGCAAAGAGAACAAGTCCTTAGTTACCTTTGTGGTTTTTCCTTCAGCCACGTCAGCAGAGCTCAGGGTTTTGCTTGCTGAGTCCTTACTCTTTCTTTTCTTACCCTTCGACGACTGTAATTAATGAAAGGACCTATTATTTGAAGACTCGATAGATAACTTGACATATGCACATTTGAAAAGGTGTAAAATATACACCACAAACTCTAAAATTATAATTGTAAAAAACAAACAAATAAATCTACCTTCTCGTTGTCAGAAAGCAATGTTTCAGTTGTAGCATGAGGAGATTCCAAGAACTCCAACAATTTTACAGAGAGTTCTTCCTGAAAAACACAGCTAATATTGCTCAGATATTGAACATTATAAGTATTATGGCCCTATTTGACCCACATTCTTTTAAAAAAAATACATTCTTAAACGGTGATTTACTATCATTTTAACCACATATCTTCAATAAAATAATATTACGTGCAAATTCAAAATTAACATAATTTTTTAACCACACATTTCCCATCAAAAAATGCATTCTTATAGAAATAATGTGGCTCAAACAGGGGCTACAATAGTGTCAATGGTAAGACCTTACCTTCTTTACAGCAGCTCTGCTGACTGGAATATTTAGTACATCACAGAAGTCCAACAATTTTTCTTTAACACATTTGTCAAGCTTCTCCTTGACTTTAGCTCTTTGCTTCTCCTGCTGAGGACATCAAAAAGTAAAATAAAATAAATACCCTTAAATTCACTAACTGAGAAAATCTAATGCCCCAATAACCAAGTGCAGTGTAAATATCCCGTCTGTTACTAATATCTATTTGCATGCATGAAGCTAAGCTATGTTTTGAATTTTTCAGATGTTTGGATGGTTCAAACTTTCAAAAGAATATATCACCTAGAAAACCCTTGTATATCAATATACTAAATTTAATAGATTGTGACTGAAATGCAGGTAGTCATTTTATGCAGTGTGCAGTGTTCTAAAAGGCATGAAAATGCAAGGCCTAGGCAGGAGGAGCAAGGAAAAAGTCTCACACACGGGGAATGCATGGAAAAAGGAATTTAAATTTATTTTTAACTGTAGGGAAAGGCACCCAAGGGCAAACACCTTTTTATTTATGTATTATTATTGTTTTGTCCATTTTTTTTTTTAAATATCAAATAAACTAACTGAATAAAAGAAAAAACTGTTAATTGTCTTGTCAAAACAATTATTAATGGTCATAGAATAAATAAAATAATAGCAAAATGACCGATTTTGCCTAGGCATACCTAAGGTCCTTGAGGCTTCAAGCTTGACCTTACCATCTTGCCAAGCCTCACACCTTTTAGAACCTTGGATTTCTGCAAGGACTGCAAACCTATGACAGCTGTCAAGGCAGCAGTTTAAGCAGATTCACTGCCAGCTACTTTTTCCCCAAGTTACATCTAGATCTCCCAGACAGCCTTTAACAATAAATTTCTTGCGAAGTGCATTTAATAATTGGCGAGATTTAAACCTATATTTCATAACCTTTTACTTTTTATTACGGTTTGCTCCAAGAAATAGTAGGTATACTGATAATTCCTGTCAAGATATATTTCAAGACTATGCAGGTTGCAGAAGTGGATCTCTCACCTATTACTCATGAAATTACTTGTTTGATTCATTGTTTTCTTTTGATGAGAATGACTATTCATTCAGGTACCTCGAATTGGAAAAAAATCTACTTTAATTAAACACCACATTCTTCATATCAAATAGGTATCTGCACTAATATTGTAATTTATATGGTGTTGCGTCACATCACATAAAAGCCTATATAAGACCCCCTTTTACAGAAGTTAGGATTCTTTGAAATCAACCTAATCGGCATCAGTTGCTGCGGCTTTTCTAAAAATAACAGATGCGGACAAAATATGTTTCCCTAGAAGAATATTTTTTTGTCAACAAAGTTTATTGCGTTACAGTTGACATGCAACATATCAAAGCCTTAACATATGATCTAGAACGAAATGAATTATTAGGACTCGGAACTCCAGGCCCTCAAAAAGAAAAACAACAGAGAGATAGAAAGAGGGAGAAGAAACGGACACTATACCTCATTCTCAACCCATACAAAACCAGAAAAGAGGCCAATATTTTTCTTCAGAGTATGTACCTGAACAAGAAGGTGATTGTTATTTAACAAGATCAAACCCCATTTGTCTTCAAAACAATGCAGCGAACAGAAAATAGACAAAATATATACTGAAAGTGTTAAACATAAAATGCTTATTCAACTTTGAAATTGGATTGGTTCAAAAGGACTGTTTAAGATGTAACCTTTGATTTTTTGCCAAAAAGAATGGTGTGAAGAATCTGCAGGTTTTCATCACCCTTTCTCTTGGACAACTTGAAAGCCACTGAAACATTTGTAATACAAGTGTGAGGAAGCGATACATCCTTGTGAGTAGACAAGTCCACTTAACAGTAGAAAAGACCAGCAAACTTAATGCACAAACAGCAGTAGTGCAAAAAAAATCTGATGGTAAAACTAAGAGAAGACTGAATATCTACATGAGTAACTGTGATTTGTAAATAACTTGCTAGAGCTGTGCACGGGTACCGCATGTTTCATGATATCAGATATCTGTCAGCGAGATATTTGTATGGGACAACAGAAATTAAGGATACGAAATAAACCCCTCCATTATTTTTTTTGGTCAGATACCACATAATCACACTAAAGAGATATTTCTAACAAACATCCATTTACGAAACAACTACAGATATCAAAATTTAATGCAATAAGTTCCAAATGTCAAGCTATATCAGAAAAACCAAACGTATTAAGAAACCAAAGATACAGTATCAGACGTATTTAATAAAATGATGAGATCATACCATTTGGGATGTCCTTAAGCTGTGTACCTCGACCCTGTAGTTATGCACCCAATGTCAATAGAATCATTTGGTAACTACTAGTGACAAATTCCATAAAAAAATGTAACGTAGTAAAACAAAAACATGGATGACATCATTCATGCCCCACTTGAGATCTCGATTGTCGAAAAACAATAAGGAAATGAAAGCAATGTAAAAGCACACAATTATCTTTAACCAACTACAAGAAATTAAGAGAAAGTTCAATAGTTAAACATGGAGTTTTCTTGTCCCGTAACTCAAATATCGACATTCACATGGACATTAATTTCATCCTTGTCTGATATACAACAATCGAAATAAAAAAGGATCTATTTGTCAGAATATGAATAAAACACGAGCTATTCCTATTTTCATTTCCTTTGTCTTTTCCACTCTGAACTAAATCCAAAATAGACTAGTAATGTTCCTTTCCCAATCAAGATTAAAATCCAGAGTTGCCTTTATAACCCTCCTTACCCACTGTAGCCCACAGACCTAATTAAAATCGTAACTGACCTAATTAAAATCGTAACTGATAACACATAAATTGATACTAGCATACGAGTTCAAAATATATGCACTGCAATTTTTTTTCTCTTCAAATATATTAAAATACTTTATTCAAATTTACATTTAATCAAGACAAGAAATGACAGAGTTTCAAATTCTTAGTAATGATTATTATACCTTTTCAATGGCCAAAGATTTGGAGCCAGAGCTGATGGGAGTTGCGTTCACAGTAAACCGCTCCACCATCTTCCTCTCCCTCGTGGGCCTATCGCCTCTCGGTGTCCTGGGTGATGATAAGTCTTCCTTCTCATTTTGAGATTTAGCCCCAGTTTTCTCCTTTTTCGATCCCTTTTTCACATTTTTCTTCTCATTCTTTCCTTTCTTCTTTTCCTTGCTCTCGTCTACTTCTACTTTCTCACCCTCTTTTTCTTCTTCTCCGACTTGACCCTCCTCTTCTTCCCCATCATTTTCCTCCTCATCTCCCTTATTTTCTTCTTCTTTTCCCTCCTCCGCTTCACTTTCTTCTTCCTTTTTTTCCTCCTCCTTTTCTTGTTTCAAGTCCTCTAATTTCTCCTCTTTTTCTTCATCTGGGTCTTCTTTGACTTCACCTTTCTCTTCGACTTCACCTGGGTCCTTCTCCTCACTCTCTAACTTCTTGTTCTCTTCCAAAGATTCCTTTTCCGAAGCCATGAACCCCAAACCCCGACTATCAGCGTTTGTGCGTCTACACTAAAAGCAAGGGCCTTTCCAACAAGTATAGATGCAAAATAGTCGGTGCCGATGTTTAATCGCAGGTGTAAGAATGAAAACGAGTTGAAATTAATTTTTTAGGGCGAAATATTTAGGTCATGGGCGCGTAGATTTAGGGGTTTTGCGATTTTGAAAGTTTTCAATGAAGAAATTTTGAAGATACCTTTAAAAATTCTTTTTTTTTTCTTTTTTTTTTCTTTTTTTTGCCTGCAAACTATTCTCAAATGCTCATTATTTCAATAAAATAAATGTATATTTGAACTAATCATTTTTCTCTATTTTTTTATCGTACATTTTTCATAAAAATTATTTTTCACGAAATTCATTCTCAAGATATTTACATCAAACATGTTCTTACCGCTCTATGAATTTGGCTCCTATTATTTGAATTTACGTATAAAATTATTTTATGAAAAAATGTATAATTTTTGAGAGAATATTTAGTTAGAAAGTAAAGAAAAAATTTGTATTTAAATGAATAATATTTTATTCTAAGAATGTATGGTAAAAAATAAGAATTAAAAATAATGAATGAGAAAGAATAGTTAGTATGTCCTGCCTAAGTAGAATTCTCAAATAGGGATATTTTTTGTTGCATTCCTCCATTTTCTTAGTTATTTATTCTATTAATATTATTTTTATATTTTAAATTTAAATTATAATATAAATAAAGAACCGAGGGTAGGAGATTATGTTCTCCATCCCCATCTAGGGATGGCAAGAAGGCTTGAGGGCTCGAGTCGCTCGTGCCCGACCCGCAAAAGCCAGACCTGACCCGACCCAGCACAAGGCTCAGGCCGAGCCCCATCTTGCAGTGCCTGGTCGAGCCGAGAAAAAAAAATGAAAAACTGTAGGCTAGCTGGCTGCTACCTTCACAACACGCAAAACCAATTGGCTCTTCATTTTCAGAAACTTGGGCTTGAACTCAAATTGCGCCCTTTCGTATATCTACTTCAATTGCTATTATATCTTCATATTTCATCGATGTATGCATTTCTTCCTATAAACTTGCGGAATTTTGTGTGATTTGTCTTGCATGTTGATGTTATACTCTGAACTTGCTGAATAAACCCAAGTTGCTCCCCTTGCAATCACATATTCTACAAGTAAGTTCGTTTCTATACAAATTTTTGTGTTCTTTTACTTTATTTCCTAGTCTTCTGGGCAATTTCTCGGCACTTTTCTGATTCAATTTCATTTCATTTTTGGTTTAATGTAGGTTTTGCATTCCCCAACTAGGATCAGAATGCCCTACATGCAAACATCTGTTTGTTGATGGAGGTATTAATTAATAAAGTTTCTTTACAATCATAATCTTTCTTAAATCTTTCATTTTCATCTTAACTTGGGTTTGCAAAAAAAATAATTTGGATGCGGAATCAAATTTAAAATAAAGGCAGCTACCAGCTGCCTTTTAGAAGGGGGAAAAATAGAGTATGCTCGACTCGACCCATTTCGACTCGATAAGGCCCGAGAGCCTCGATTTTTTCGCCGAGCTTTTGCTCGGCTCGAGCCAAAAAAGCCCATCTTCAAAAAGCTCAAGCTCGGGCCTTGATTTTCGACTCGCAAGCTGATTTGACTAGACTCATTGCCATCGTTATGATCCCATCCCAAAGGATCGTGGCAAGATCAGGCACATTGTCATCCCCATATTACAAGTAGTATTGTAGTAATACTATACAATTTCCTTTGCTCGTTTTTAATTTTTTAGCTTTAATAATTGAAACGTCTTACAAGTGTTTACGAGTATGGTCAAGGATCGAGTTAATTGTTCCAGTGGGCACTAAACTTAGGTTCGTGTCTTTGATTGGTCACTTAAATTTAAAATGTCGAGTTTCGGTCACTGAACTCATATCCATATTTTCGATTGCTCACTAAAGTTTAAAATGCCAAGTTTTGACCCGTGAACTTTAAAAAATGTTGTACATTACTCACTGAACTTTGAAAAATATTGTACATTACTCACCGAACTTTGAAAAATGATGTACATTACTCACTGTAAATTTGATATTTTTCAAAATTTAACAGTTATGCTAATGAGTAATGTACGACATATTCTAAAGTTCAGTAACCAAAATTCGATATTTTAAATTTCAATGAGCAACCTAATACATGGATTTAAATTTAGTGAGCAATCGAAAATATTGATGTTCAGTGATCAAAATTTGACATTTTAAACTTTAATGACCAATCAAAGACATGAATCAAAGTTCAATGGACATTGGAACAATTAACTCTCGAGGATCATTATAATAAATTGTATGTTTTTCGGTTTTTTCACTTGCTCGACTTCGACGAGAATCTTTAAAACATGTTTGAGTCCCATTTTTTTAATTAAAAATGCATTTTGGAATAATGATTTGATGAAGAATATATGGTTAACAAATAAGAAAAAAATTTAAATTTGTTGTAATATTATTTTATTGAAGAATATGTAATTGAAAATAAGAGAGAAAAATGTATTTAAAAATAATGGGAACCAAACAAGGGTGATTTTGGAAGGTCGTATCTCTCATCGTGGGTTTTCTTGTGGTTTATCACTCGTCTTATGTTGGCCAATTTATTGTGTATGATGAGGTTGGTGAGCTTTTGGATTCCCCTCTTCTCGGAGAGTGAGAAATGCACATGTCCTATTCCTCACTGATTTCAGTAGATAGACCCAAAAAATTAGTACACGTGAACAACTACTTTCTCATCCGGCCAAAAAAAAGCCTTAGCTTCACCCTTGGTGGGAGGTTGTCTTTCGAAGAGCAATGCTCTGCATTAATGCAACGAGCCATAGCTCATAGATGAATTACCGCCTTACAAGTTTATTTGGACTAAAGGCTAAAGCCATACTTTTGAAAATCTCCCTATTTATCTTGAAGTTATGGCACGACTAAATCTCCATGATGGAATTGTGCAAAATAGGAGGCAAATTAGCTTACTATCTCAATGCCAATGCTGCAGAGATTTCTTCACCCTCGATTTGAACATTCTTTGATGATATTCCAATATTGAAGATTCGCAAACAACGTATGTAAACTTTGTAGTAATTTGTTGTCTCACTATTCATTTTTTTGGTACTAGTGGATCGAGAAAGATAACTCCAAACATTCAAAGATAAAATGTTTATCGTAAAAATGATTAGAAAAGTAGAGTATCTTATTCAAACTCTTGAAATGCTAGAATAATCACATACCTAGTAAATCCATTGTATGTATTACTAAGGAACCCAACATTTGTGTATGGTTCGAGAAAAAGTTGGGTTAATTCTCGTTGCCATTATAGAGCTTAATGAGTATATTAGAAGCCAATGGCGTGTGCGATACTGACTCTAGAAAAATTTTACCATTAAGTAAAGAGAATTGGGAGATATACTTTTACTCTATGTGTGGTGAGAGGGAGATAATGTGACCGAATGGTTGGGAAACATATGTTATAAAGAGAAAAGCCAAACCCACATTAAAGTTTAGCTAAGTAGGCCTAAAAACTTTTACCTAACTCAAATCTACTTTGACTTTTTTTAAACATACAGCTACGGTTAGAAACATTTTTAGTTATAAAAAAAGATAAAAGGAAAAGCATAGACCGATAGATCTAATTAAAACCCCCCTCCCCCCCCCCCCCGCCCCAGGAATTAAAATGGATGAAATAGTATTTATTTTGGAGGATGAGTAGTTGAAAAAAAAAATTCGATTTACGTATAATATTATTTTATGAAAGATTATATGATTGAAAATAGGAAAAAGAAAAATAAAATTTAATTTAACGGGAGGCAAATGGGGCTAAAGAAAGTTAATGAATACAACTTGAACATATGCATATTGCCGCAGTGGAAGACGAGTACTCAAACAGTACTTGATGCAACTATCAAAGAGAGTGGTTTAGCAACATTCCGGTAAAAGCTTTACCACAATCTTATAAGAAATAAATTATTTGAAGGCTCAGAAAATGAAAAATGATATTATTAAGTTGTAAATTTTAATGAATGAGTTGTGTATTACAAAATTATCATTTAGAGACAAAAAAATTCTATTGCGTTTTCAAACAATGAATCCTCAGACATTACTTAGTGCCTGTTTACCATTTTTTAATTTATTTTACGGTTTGTTACTGGATTATTTTCAACCATATATTGATATAATAAAATATAATATACGTATTTGAAAAAAAAATCTTACTTTTTAAGCACACATTCTCCTAAAAGTTACTGTTCAAAACTCTTTTTTCTATCAAAATGATTGTTAAAGAGGTCTCAATATTACAAATTATAAGAACATAAATACTTTGGTTCAAACTGATAATTGAAATACTATGTAGAAAAATTATTTCCAAAGATGAAAAATGTTACAAGCTTAGCCTCTGTATGATAGGAACTAAAATCAAATTTTTATTATATTTTGATAAAAATTAATGAAGTATCTGATTGAAAAATTGTGAAATTGATTAAATATGGGATTAAAATTAATTCTTACTATGATTTAAATTAAAATTTGAATTTAGATCGCCTATAATTAAACCCTGAAACCAAAAATTCACTCACACACACACACACAAAAAAAGGATTTTTGCCCATGATCAGCTATGGAAGAAAATTTTCCAGGATCTCGAGCCCTACTGCTTCCCAAGCTCATCCAGTACGTATATGTTCGTGTGCGTGTGTATTTATATGGGAATTATTATAACTCAATGTTGATTCTGCCGTTAATTTTTCGATGAAGATTGGCTTTCTTGGAGTAACATTCACGAAGTGGAGAGGTTCTAATTGAGAGTGTTTTTCGATGGGAGTTCAATCACAAGGTCAGCCAGAATATATAAAGAGTACAGGGATTTCATAATTTCGAAGAGTGGAGAGAACCCTTCAAAGAAACTGACATTTACTGAGGTTCCAAAGTCATTGGTCGGAGATGTTAGCATTCTCCATAAAGTCTTTACCTTCTAAAAAAAAAGGTCTCATTATTTTTGATATTAAGGGGGGTGTATTCAATTGAAACTTTTAATGACTTTTTGGGATTTAAAAAGTTTAGGAATATTCAATTGAGATTTTTTGAGACTCTCTAAAAGTTACGGTGTATTCAATTGAGACTTTTATAGACTTTTAAAAAATTTTTAAAAGTTACGGTGTACTTAATTAAAACTTTTTAAAAGTCTCTATAAGTTTTTA